GCTATATAGTATTATGTTTGTATTATCTTTAAGATCCCTATGACAATACTGGCTTAACATAAATTGTGTATGCCGCCTTAGCAATTATTTGATTACAAATTTTTTCTGCTAGAGACATACCTATTAATAGCCAGTAATCTAGTTATTTACTCAAAATTTAAATAATCTAGTCATTTAGCTAAATGATCCAGATTATTTGGTTATTGGTTATTTGGGTTATTTGCATATAAAGTAATTTTATTGGTCAGATAGCTAATATAAAAGTTACCAAATACTATGATTTTACTAAACTATAATAGTAACTATATGAAAGTCAAAACTTTGCTAAGTTGATTAATATTTATATCTTAAGTAAAGTTGTTTAGAAAACAAATTGCATATACTGTATCTTAAAATTTTTATATAATTCAGATAATTTTTTATTATATTATTTTCAGAACAACTTTACTTAAGATATAAATATCAATTTCTATGATTTCTATAAAAACAACCTTTTGTCTGATAATCAATTTTAATTAGCTAAAAGGTATTAGATTATTAGTTAACAAATGTTAAATAACTTTCTATAGATCATTTGAATGTGAAATTACCAATAACTAGTCACTAGTCATTTGGGTTATTTAGGTTATTTCAAGTTATTTACTATCTCTGCTAATAGTGTATCACTTTTTTTACAAAAGTAATGAACTGCTTATATTTTGTATAAACACATAGCTTTGCATCAATTGAGTGTAGTGAAGCCACTACTTCTAGATAAATGCAAATACACAACTTGCTAGAGACGTACCCACAGATAGTAGGTTAAATGGAAGACCAAATAACGAACTGCCTGCAAGTTATATAGACACATATCTGTATTTGCATTCGCAAGAAGACGGTACATATCAGATATTCAAAACAATGTATTCCATTATTATAATCCATTTAGCAAGTTTTAATCATCATTGAGTCTACATTAAACCTAGGTACCGCACAAAAAATGCGCGGATGATTCTTGATTCTGATTGGCTAAAAGCAACGATTAAAAAATTAGGCCGGAATTACACATAATTTTATTAATGAAATCGCAGCCGCCTATTAAGTGAAAATTGTTCCTGAGCCAATTTTACCATAATGCGTGCTTATTTTTTAAAAATTTCTATTTTTATAATAAAAAAATTAAAAAGTCAAATCCGGCCGGAATTTAGTAAACAATTTGTAATGCGGGCCAAAATTTCGAAGATCACCGGCCGTTAGCCAATCAAAATCGAGGATCATCCAATGAGTCTACAATGTTTATCCTTTCCGAGTATAATCATGCCGCAAAATTTGTCAGTCCCGTGATTTCCAAGTCAATCGTATTGGAAAAAGTTTCTTATCGTTACGAAATTTTTTAGTGCAAGAAACACGAACAATCGTTACTTTTACATAGGGTTCAAATGGCTTTAACAAATGGTAGCAAAAAATCTCATCTATATGTTCTAAATAAAACCTTTTCTAATATTATATCGGTTTCGACACTAACTTCAGCCTGATTCTGTGACCGATTAGCTCGAGATCACGAGACAGACAAATTCCTGCGGCACGACTATGGTAGCATCATCACAACTATGCCCAATATTACACGCTCTATCATTTCAGAGATTCTTAATAATTGTCGCGGATTATGGTGAAATCGGATCATCGTGAAATCTAGGGCCTTAATTTAAAAATATAAACCCTCACAACCCTAACAAAACCCACTTATACTCTTTTATTATAAACCCTAACCCTAAATACTAGTCCGGATTCAAAAAAAAGCCTAAAAAAATATACCCCAAAAAATTTTAAAAATTGGAATTTCACGATGATCTGAATTTCACGATCATCCGCGACAATAATTAATACACTCCATGATGTCCAGCTTTTTTGCATCTCTCCTGTTTCCAGATAAGGAACCGGTTATGTTTCTTGATTTAAGCAGTCAAAAAACCTGAATATAGAGGTTGTTAATGAATTAAGTAAAAGTTTTCAACCTGCTCCTGTACGGGAGAATATGGTTGAGTTATCCGGCAGGTACTATGTAAACACTGACGGAAAAAATTTCACATTATTTCCGCAAATTTTATTAAAATCATGTGACAAATTCTTATTAATTCTAATATAAAAATCCGCGGAAGTAATGTAAAATTCTTTCCGTAAGTGTATACGTCATACCTGCCAGATAACTAGTTATCTGACATGATATACGAATCATGGACATCGGCAGTATAATTGCAACACACGAGGCCTTCGGCCACGTGCTTTTGATATTATCCTGCCGATACCCATGTATCCGTCAAATCATACCAGACAACAAGATAGTATTATACGGTGTATTAAAATTTAAAAAAAAATTATAAAAGATTACAATAATCGTTGGAAAGCTGGCAGGTGAATAGTGACAAAATATTTTGATTTTCTAAAAAAAGTCTTTTGAATTTATATAGTAATGAGAATGTAAATAAATTCAATACGTATTATGTTTAAGCATAAGATTATTTGTCTGTTCGTCATTTTAGCCTGCATTTTTTTTTCACTAATAGAATTTTGTCGGTGGCACATGCCTTTTTGTTGAATCATTACTTCGATAACTTTCAAGTGCCATCTTCTAGCTTAATTTCTTGCGGTCTTTTGCTTAGGCGTATAAATTCTTTGGATTTTGTATTTTATCATAAATTTCAATAAATCGAACCATTAATCAGCTTTATTACTGTATTAATATTTCTATTCAATGATCGGATTGCTGATTAAAGTTCTACAGGGGATCGTCGATATCACAATTACAAAGAGCCGGACATTAACAAATTTCACTCAAAGATCTTGCTCTCCGCTCCCTCCGTTCCAGCCAAATAAGTAATTTTCGTACTGACTTAAGAAAAAAATCATTTATTTATCTTTAGAATTTTTTTTCTTTCTTAATAATTATGAAAATATGAACTTTACTTTTCTGGCTCGTAAATCCATTGAATGAATGCTGAAACATATATTAGTCAAAAAAAAGATAACCGATGTTTAACATACAAACAAAATCATTATTTTTTTCAGTGCTGCTCACTTCACTCACAACCATTTCATCGAAAGCTCATTTAGCTGACACCACATATGGTTAGGGTTAGCCCCTATAAAAAAAGTCGATCCGCGTTTTATATACATATTCACGAAATTTATCAGTAAATCAGGCTTGTCTAGATTTTGTTGATCATGTAGATTCACAAAGTTTTCACAAAAAAATATGGAAATATTCGGATAAAAATTTCTTACAGGGAACCTTTAATTAATTGTAGGTATATACTGTGTATATTGTTAGTGAATTATCACTTTGCGTGATTTCGGCTAAATGAGTTGTCGGTGAAATGACCGTCGGTGAAGTAAGGCCGAACCCTTTCCTTTATATTCTTTTATATCAGAAACACTATAGAATATAGCACAAAACTAAACTAATTTTGTATTCAAATCTTGTAAAGAATTTTTATCTTTAGTATTGATAATTACCCTGTAAAATTATTCGTTTCTTAAGGCAAGCTGTTATCAAATAAAACACACGTACTTAAATTTAAGGCAAACAAAGTTCGAGTTAAATAACTTTCAAAAGTAAATTTTTTTATTTATAATAATCGAAATTTTATAATACTATTGATTATATATATAATACATGAAATACAAATGATAATTGTTAGATATTGATAAACTAATTATATCAATATTACAAATTTTTTTTTAAAAAATGGAAATCAATAAATAAAACATATAACTTTTCTACGATGCTGAAACTAAATAGGACTTAATTTTCTACTTATCATTTCCATATTATGAGCTTCATCAATCATCGCTTTTCCTAAGAGATAATTTGCTTTTCGACCATAAATTCCAGTTTGTACGATTCTTCCCAGAACTCCCAATGCCTTATAATTCGTCAATGCTGATATTCTTAAATATTTCATTGCGGCTTCGCACCCATCATTTTCAAACTTAACAGAACTATTTAATAACGATAACGCGTACCAATATTGTGCATCCGGATGTTGTAACTCTGAAGCTTTTTTAAGGTATTTCAATCCTTCTTGAAGATCTTTCTTAACATAATGTCCTTTAAGGTAATAAAAACCAACCCAAAAATTTGCATGTGGATCTTCAGGTTTGAGATCACAATAATCTTTAAATAATTTCCATGAATCATCATATCTTTTATTTTTATGATGTTCAATACCTTGTTCTATTTGTTTAGATTTGGATGGATATTGACTATATCGACGACACATCTCAAATTCCTTACTTTTCAATATTGTTGCGGTTACTGGATCCATATTTGCACTATTAAAATCAAAATAATCATCTGCATCCTGGTTAGAAAATTCATAAAAAGTTTCAAGATCTAATCTATTCAAATGGTTTAAAATAGTTTTCATATTATCACGTGCAGAAGGATTATGAGACCAGGATTTTTTAATAATTTCTTGATATTCAGCTGGTATACCGTCTATGGTAGTAAGTTCTGGATGGGCTTTGTCAAGTATTTTGCGTTTGATTTCCTCCTTTGAAGTTATGGTAATAAAGGGCATTTGTTGATATAAAATGGCCCACATAACTAATGCGAAACTTTTTAATATAAAAATAAAACATTATTTATTGAATTTGAATTATGAATTAATTGCATATATTTAACTCTAAAAGTTACCTGTATACTTCACTGGCTTTGTTGTATTTTTCACCTCGGATTCTTTCCGGTGAACTCCACCTAAAAAAAAAAAAAAAA